TCCCTACATAAATGTTTTATTTATGCTATAAAAAAATGTTGCGCTGATCTAACTACACGTATTCTGAAGCCTTTTAACTTCCAGGAGTTCGTCTGTGAAAGTATTTACCCAGCAAAATATCTAAAAGTGTTTTAAGATAACACTTTTTATGCTGCTCCTGATTTATGAAATATACATTCCTAAGCCAAAGTCTTCCCTCTCCTTTCTATGTAACTGACTTGCTTCTCCAGTAGAGTGAACTTTTCATGAAAGCTAAGATATAATTGAGTTTTCTTTCAAGTCTTTAAAGCTTTTTAAAATTCATGGATTTTCTTATCATTTTGCAGCAAAGTATTTTCAAATCCTTCTTTAACTTCGGTGTTTAATATTAACACATTTTAAATGTTACAGAAACAGAGTGGAATAAATTTTCACTTATAAAGTGTTTGATTGATGATGTATTTTACCATTACAAACAAGCTGGTGTCACTATTTACTATATTTGGTTACCTGTCACAGAGCTGTCTAGATTGTCCATACTGGAGCCTGGAGTATGCTCTAGACCTCTTAGTGGCCTAGTGATTTCTACAGCTTCCTCTTCAATATCGTCCTCATCATCATCTGGAACATCTGTTTCCAAATCAGAAATAATGTTTCCAGATACATATCCTAGGGGTGGAACTGGAGCCTGAGGAGGCTGTGTATTGCTTTGGATGTGCCTACACAAACAAACACAAAAAATATCATCAGAACGGATGAGACTTTGTACCCCACGGTCAGTAAAGCATAAGCCCCTCAGTAAATCTCGGAATATATTTACAGAGTATGTTTGTTAGGTTAGACTCAAGAAAAGTCAATTCAGTTATTTACCATTGCTCTAATATGTCTTTACTATAATACCTAAGCACTTTCCAAACTTAGGCACACTTCCTCCTGCTGTAAGACAGGGAAGGATAACATTGTCCTTTTACAGATGAGGAGTTGGGGTACATGGAGACTACATAAATCACTTGAGAAATCCGTGTGCATGGAAAAGCACAACTAATAATCCCAAACTAGCATATGAGCGTATCACCCAGTATTCCACCTTGCATTTCACACCTTTGAGCTAAAATACAGTTTAAATTTCGTTCCTGCTAAAAATGACTCAGTGCTGTTAGGCAAAACACCCTAAAGAGGAGGACATGACCTGAAGGACAAAAGAAATGTTCAAGTACAATGAACTCATCACCAATGAAACTTTTTTATTTTGCTTTACTCAAAGTAGTTCAATTGATTTAAAACTGCAGTAGTAGTAAGGGCATGCATATGTGAAATTATTGCATGCAGCAATCACAATCAAAACATGAAAAACAAAGTTAAAAAGCACACACAGGATAGCTAAATGGTCAATAGGCAATCAGTGTACTTGGATTTTCATGTAAGAGGTCTCTGAGACACTAGAGAGAAAGAACAACTGCCTGCTATCAGTGCAGCATTCTCCACGGCACTGCAGGTACATGGCAAGCTGTCCCAGGGGACCCAGACATCACTGGCCTTGGCATAAGACAGTGTACCACACTTGAATTTGTTAACTTAGGCACTCAGGAATCCCTAGGTGGCTATTCATGAGGTGCCGTGACCTAATTCAGATTGGCAGAACCCTGGAGAGGATTCAGGATTCTGCTAGTCTTTCACTCAGATACCACTTTCATGGAAAAAATTACAACTGTCACCTATTTGGTTAACTAGGTCTAATATTTTTAATTTTCACGAGAACTTTACGCTGTAATATTGCCTATATTTTATAAATATAGTGATTCTGTTATTCAAGTAGTCTTGTCTCAGACCTAGTGGATCTGACAATGTCATGGTAAATGTTATATATCCCTGGAATCTCTTTCCACCTTGGTGTGTTTTTTTAAACTATTGCATCTTCGGAAGCTTATTTGCAAAGCAAATCCTTCCATTCTGATATACATATATACTTCTCATCAGCAGTTCTTGAACACTTTTCTGTCTGGACACAGGGCTCTTAGGTATACAGTGTTCACAACACTGCACAAAAGCGCACTAAGATCTAACTAGCCCTCAGTAAACAGTGTGATTAGCTCCCAGTCAAGCAGAATACTTAAGCATATGCTTAATATTAAGCCTGTGATAGAACAATTGAGGTCAATTTGTGATATGTTTGTAGTTAAGCATATACTTAAGTGATTTGCTGGATCAAGGCCATAATGATTATGCACTTTTCCAGTAATCTCTAATGTTCTCTCTCTTAAATCTCTAGGTGGTCAGTCTCTAAATTTTTCTTGTTACTCCTACAGTAATTTATCTGATCGGTCTCATCTTGTTGTTTTGCTTTCCCGCCTCTACACTGGACAGGATAATTTACTGACAAGAAAACAAAGTAAAAAATCTTCCTTCACACTTTTAACAGTGGTGCTTTCTCCACTGATTTTGAACAGCATTTGCTATGGCCTTTAACAGCATGACAGGTGTACAGCCAAGCAATATCAAAACAGTAAACGATTCTATGTCACACCTGCGGCAAAAATCCTATATATTTACAACCCTCTAGATTTATCCCTAAACCTGCTGCACAGTCCCAGTATGAAAAAAATGCTAACTCCTCTATAATTCTTCCACTTTCAGTTACTGCTCAGTGACTGCGACCTTACACGAGAGCGGCTTTAAAATGTTCCCAACGCAAGTTCCCAGTCAATTTTCACTGCTCCACAAAGGGAATGAGACCTTTTACCCCCAGCTGCAAGATGCTTTGCTAGAGAGCCCTACACTGTTGCCAGCCACCAGACTGGCCCGTGCAGTCTGCAGGTCGCAGGAAGTGTAACAGCTGCAAGATGCAGCAGCAGTCGAGTGCACAGACAGCGTATGCATCTGTGCACTGGCTCGGGAGGCAGCTACCTTCAAGAGGCCAGGTTTAGCTGCTGCCTGGGATTTGGGTCTGTCCCACAGGCAGGCCGGGCTCTGTGCTTGACAGTGCGGCATTGTGGCGGGACCAAAGTATCCTGTTGATTGAGCGCAGATTGCAGACAAGCCTCGAGGCTTCTGCAGTGTCCGGGGAGAACAGCTGGCTATGATTTGGCACAGCCTGCCTACCTGCCGGATCTATTTACGGTAGCTGAAGCTGAATAACATCGTGGCTTTATTTACTAGCAAAGAAAGCTCGCTTCTTCCCTGGCAGAGTGCCATTCAGTAACTAGCTGCACTTTTATCCTCTGAGATTCTCAAGCTACTCTCCAACTCTCCCCCCCTGCCCCTTTTTTTTTTTGTCTGGGTAGAAAAGTTTTAAAGGACAACTGCCACTTAGGGAATATCCAGAAAGCAACTGACCTTCACCGTATCCCCATTCTGGTGCAGTTGACAAGTTCTTTTTCAGTCCCTGAAGAGATTGCTTCTGTTTGTTTTACAGTGAAAATGTTACTGTGATATTTGCTTGCTCCTCATTCTAAATAGGCAAAAAGCATTCTAAAACACTAGATCCATTCTGTAAATTCTAACAACTTCCTTCCTGCTATTTCTGTTGTTTTCACTCTGAATTAGTAATTTTCAGGGTATTTCAAAATACTGTCAGATATACGAATGCTTCATTCTCCTGCTACACAGGGTAAAAACTGCTATCCTTGCTATTGCAAGTGACTGGCCTTATTTTTAATCAGAGATTTAGAGCTTCGGTATTTTTGAAAATCCTAACAAATTACTTTTGCTACCCTGAAGAGACAGTATTTTGAACTGTATAGATAAAAGTTGTCAGTAGGTACACGCTAACCAGTCAGCTGAGTATATGCCAAAATTCCAAATTAATATAATTTTTATGTAGCTTTAGTCAAGATTTAATATATTTTTCAGAGTCAAGGTTTAAGAAGCTTCCATTAATGTTTAAGGCCTTCACACTGGAGATACACGCTTGCTTTTTCTTCTTCCCATTTATGGTTTTGTGAACATTACTGAAATATTGTTGAATACAGTCAATAGGTATGTCATGAAGTAATAAATTATTATTATGCTTTCTTTTCCCAGATTGTGGGTGCCCGCTTTAAACATTTACCATGTCTGCTTTGCTATATCAAACTGGTAGGCCCTAGTTAATTCATCAAGGTGGGCTTGAAGCATTGGCTGCATCTCCTCTCGTGGAGAAGGCGTGAGAGTTGCAGTTGACTGTTGCCCAAAGGAGATTGCAGGCGACGAAGCTACCCCTCGGACAGGAGGTGTGGGAACACGGTCATCGTCTTCTTCAAGCTCATCCTCCATGCCCTGATGTAAATAGGTCTGAACTGGCAAAGGCGGACACCAATCATCACTGTCATATCTAAAATAAAAACCAAGTAAACTTAGAATATATCAAATCTCATTTCTGATGTGCAGCAGAGAGCGTTATCTCCCCAGAAAAATTCCCTAATTTGAACATCACTCCAGTGGTGCACAGCTCTGCCGGCAATCACACCAGCCAAATCTCAACACTTTCTGCTCTTCTAATCCTCACAACATCCCTGGCAATCTGCAGTGAGCATCTGCACACGTTTCTTCTCAGCTCCCAGCATATTCCCAAACACTTCAGGGATAGCATAGATAGCTCCTTTCAAAAGATAGTCAGACAACCAAAGGCCATCACAGCTACTTCACTGCCAACATCATTTCATACTTTAAAGACTATTCCCCAAGCACTGTAAGTCACTTTCTCTAACTTCTACCCACCTTCAAGAACCGCAGACATCTCTCGTAACAAGTTGCACCTTTTGTTTGCAATACAGGCAAGTAATGCACTGAGTTATACAGTTAATTTCTCAAACAAGTTTAAAGAATATTCCTTTTCAGGCTCTTTATTTGGAAGCAACTGCCATTACCAATTTACCAGAGAAATAGACCACTGCCAACTTTCTCAAGTGAAGCCGGGTTACAAAAAAGCTAGGAAAACAGACAGAGAAGTTCTTAAGACTGTATTACGAATGGAACATCTAGTTTGAACAAAATCAAAAAATTTCTAGAATTAATGACATCACTTTTTGCTTATTCAAGAGTCTGTACTCTGTATAAAAACAGTTCAGATTCAGAATAGCTAAAACAATCTAAGTTAATTAGCAGGAAGTCTTTGGAAGAATATCTTGTAATTAAGGCTGCAATTACTTCATATCTAGATCTATCTACAGATACACACACATATGTATGTGTTACAGAGGGGCAAATAAATGTTGTATCTTACCGCTGGCATTTCAGAGTTTTGGGGTAATTGATTTTTTATCATTACTATTCTTATAACAGGAATCTTTAAGAAAATATCATATGACACATCTGTAATTCCTTAAGAGATGATTGGGGTTATTACTAGCACTAATTTGTCTTTCCTTGTAACTTTCACTCATGACATCATTGCCACCTAAGGGTGAAGGGACCATCCTACTGCATGCCGATAAAAATTTCCAGCGCAACAGCTCTGTGGCTTATTCTCACTCTCTCTCAACCCTATGCTTTAGTATAACAGCTTCTTTAAAAGATATAAGACAGAAAGGTACTCCTTAGTGACTTTTCGGTAATGCATAAATGATCTTTGGACGTTCTTAGCTTTTGACTCTACTTGCTTCAAATCCCCAAACAATCGACTTGGTAGTTTATTCCTTAATAAAAAGACTCTGCACAAGTACCATATCTTCACCTAGATTTTGTTAGAAATAGAAAGGAGGCGAAGCATGAAGTTCAGGACATTGAGATTCAAGATTTCAGGTTTGAGGATCTTTGTCTTTATAATGTGAAATGTTTGAAAAGGTGCCAGTTCTAGCATGCATTTTACTAAAAAAATTCTGCAATAAAAAGTAAGCAAACCTAACAGATTACATATGAATATCCTCTCATATAAACTACTAAATTATTGAAACTTATAGAAACACAGCATAGTGAATATTGGTCATAACCATGTCCTTTTTGGTTTCCTGTGTAAATGCAACTTGCCAAAAAAGGCATGTAACATTTTTAAAGCACTTCTCATCAAAATCTAAGCACCTTAACTTCACCAGGTACCTCTTACAGTAATTTCCTGATAATTAATTTTAAGTCCCTAAATGAGAACAAACACAAATCTTTGTGTTTCTAATAGTTTTATTTTCCTCTTGTCCATTTTATTCTATATTAATCTTTTGCTATTAATAAGCTTTGCTTATTGTATTGATAGGCTTGCTCTTCAAAATAAAAACCAGCAGTGACAGGTAAGTTGAATAGTCTATTCATTTTTGTTTCAATACACACATCACCGCAGCAAAGATAGTTTCCCTCTTCAGGTCTTGCCACAAAGGATTTTTTGATGTAAAAGATACTACACTCTTTTTCTTAGGACAGAAAACAACTATCAAATATGTTGATATCCAGCAGCTAATATTCCTTTTAAAGATTTAATCGATAGGAATACATGAAAATAACCAATGATAACTTTATGAAGACTGTTGCTACGGGGATTGGCTCAAGGTCATGTGGATTACTGGTGAAAAAATATAAAGAGATGATAACAAATAAGTAATCAGCATTTAGTTCCTGTCAAATTTATTAGATAAAACTCAGTAAAAACATCATCTCTGAAAAGAGAGGAAAAGGCAGTATGCTTGACTGGAAGCTACTACAGAGAAAGAGAAACTGCAAAGTCTCTGCCATATATACAAGTGACAATTGAGGAAGACAGCATGGAACAAATCCAGAGTTTGTGGAAAAAAGGCAAAGTTTCACAGGAAAAGAGCTTGCCTGGGAAACAACAGTATAAATAGACTTTCTGTGTAGGTTAAATAGTAATTCAAGATATCAAAAAATCTACCAGGTTACACAAAATGGCCGTAACTTGGATTAAAACAATCATCTTTCCTTATGTGTGTTGCAGTTCGGGGAAGAATGGAAGTGAATGCAGACCTTGATTCTTCTGGGGAGAAGGCAGTAGAGAGAGCCAAGAGCGTGTGTTTTTTCTTCCTTATCTGAGTAAGTCTATGATTAAGTTAGGTGACTTTTTAAAATTATTGTTATCAAGAATTATTCTACACAGTTATTAGCTATTAGGCCTCTGGTGTTAATTTCTAATGAGCAAAATAAGGTATCAAAGCTGTTTAGTTTATTTGGCATGCCCACACCAATGAAACTCACGCTTGAATTATGGGGAGAATTATGGGGAGAGGAGCACAGACAGATAAGTATTTTTTTCAGGTGCCACTTTTCTTGTTTTATTGTTCTAAATGTTCACCTTTCATAGCACACTGCAAGAACTTTATTAAAGTTTTTCTCTTTGGAATATCATTTTCAATTATTATTCACAGTATAATTACATCTGTATATAATGAATTCTAAAATTAAAACACATATAGTACTTGTCATATATATTATACATCAAAGCAAATCCAGAAAAACAAAACAATTTAAAAAATCAAAAAACTTGCCAGGTTTTCTACCCAATATGCCAATATTAAAGGTAAGACAGGGAATGCAGTCTATGATTATTTCCATTTTAGCATGTTGAAAAACACAGAAACAACATCAGCCCCTGAATACAGAAAGATCCTTAAGTTTGGATAGATCCTCAGAAAGTACAGTTGTTTCAGCTTCACTGGGTTCAGCA